TGTATGGCTTGAGTTTTCTTCCCTCTGTTTACTCATTGCTGGCTGTCACTCCTGGATTGTAAGATACCAATTTTTATTTAATTTATTTCTGTTTTAAAGCTCGTATTAGTAGGGAAGGTACTGTTAGATCAGATTGGTAGAATTTTTATTTTTAATGTGAATGTCACTTATCCAATGTTTGCACATTTTAACATAATAAAACACGACTGCAGTTTAAAACCTTCATGCTTGATCGACCTTTTGTTTATAGATAAACCTGAATACACGTATGTTGTAAAGTTCTACTTTAAAACAGTATATCACATCCTCGGCGTTTGTAAGCTATACACAATCTGAGATCCAAGTCAACATCTTTATTCCACTTTTTTAAATACAAGTTGCTTTAATTTTATTTACGAAAGTGTGAAAACAGTGCTTATGAAATTCATTAACATTTTTTAAAAGATCCATGACATGTACTTTAAGGTTGTTTGGTTATGCTGCACATGTGCTTACTTGCATGTTGCTGTTACACTTAAGTTATAATTTCTACCACATTTGCATATTTGTTGTTAATTCAACTTTTCATCTCTTTTGTGTTCTCTAGCATCATTCCACCACATTTTAGAGTATGGACTTTAATTACAGGAGGATTTATAGAATATAGAATATGGAATGTAAGTGCACACCATCAGCTCATTAAGTACTGGAATAATTACTGATCTACATGCAGGTTGAACCTATAACTTAAGTTACCTGTTAATATCATTAAATTGCAATCTTTGTTTGTTTATTATTTACGGTGTCCCCAGATTAGCGCAGCAGTTCTAAATCCATTAACTTTTCAAAAAAACCTTTTGTACATACTCTATACATGTAAATTATGCAGTATATGTAAACATTAGCAACCAATTGATAAACATGTTTGTCTTTTTTCAGATGTTAATAGACATTGGAGTTCTTGTCTTGTGTGGTCAGTTGTTAGAGCCTCTCTGGGGAGCACTTGAATTTTTGGTAAATCAAATTATTAATACATGTTTGTGGATTGAAAATTACTACCCATGAATTTTGTTTACTTGAAAGACATCTAATTCCAGTTTGTTGGGGGGGAAAATATGTTGGTGATTGGGCAAAAATTGATTGTGTCGTTTTTCTTTTTTTTTCTACAGAAATTTGTATTAATCTTAGATGTAGGAACATCACTGATAACATCAGCTATTTGTGTAATAGCTTATGTTGCAACATTTGACACACACATGTGGTAAGTTGACAACTACAAAGAACTTTG